CTAAAGTAATGTAGTATAGGTGAACAGAAGTCTAATTGTCTTAATCTAGCCAAGGGAATTTTACAGGGGAATGGAAGTTTAATTCCTTCAACGGAGTCACTGAGAACTTTTCTGAGTAAGGAAATGATTACTGGGCAGGGGTAATGTTCTTAGACCTAAGAGAAATGAGCAACCAATAACCACCAAACTATACCATGAAAATGGAAACACCAAATACCTACCTCAGTCAAAAACATGATCTATAAGCTACTCAAAGAATATTAAACTTTAAACTGTAGTTTTCTGATAGACTCTTTAAGGATAAAAGGAAAATGTTCCTCTGGATCCTAGACCACCAGATATGGCGTATATACAGGATGAGGCAAAAGTAGGTTTCCAGTGGTGAATATGGAAAATAATACAATAATTAAACAATAATACAAGAATAAATTTTGTGTCTCACCACCATAAGCCTACTTTGCCCTACCCTGTATGTATGCTACTATATATGTAAGTATAATAAAATAATATTTATGCTATTGCCCGTAATTTAGATATATGTTGGAGAATGCCTATTCACAATTATTCTTTGAAGTAGTGAGCATAAAGTCATTCTTTCTTATAGTAATTAGATAACAGTTAGCTGTCTATAAAGGTTACTTCTATTTCACATTATTCACCCATAGAGAATGGTTTTCTTTCTCTTTTAGGAGTGCTGAAGCTAAAACCAATAGCAAGTCAAAAGGACAATTTGGAAATGGCAGAAAATGGAAGGAGGTAATACAATCTATTTTTAACCTGCTGAAGATTATTTTCTGATATGTGAAGATAACATCACAATGATCATATACCTGAGCAATCTTAGTCAAATGACTTACCAGTTCTTTGTCTCAATTTCTTCATCTATTTATTGGGGGAAAAAAACAGTACTTCATAGTTTTATTGTGAGAAATAAAGGAGATAATACATGTGAAATGCCTAGAACAGTATCTGGCACATAATAAGTACTCAGTCAAGGTTAACTATTATTATTCATCAGGAAGCAAAAAAATCTGTATTGGGTCTTATGACTTATAATCAAATCTTATTCATAGCATTAAAGTAAAATAAAAGCTCAGTAAAAATTGCAACACTTTTCTGTCATACAAACAAATGTACCCACTGGGTAATATAGAGCATTATGTTAGAATTGCTGGGCCTAAAATCTGTTCCTGACATAGAATCCAGCAGGTCCCGGATATTCTAGATTATCAGAAATCACACATCATCAGACTGGAGTACTATTACTGCATATAATTTTCAAAAATAAACATTTTCATGACCCTTTTCCAACCACTAAGGAGGTAATAAATATACTACCACTAATGAAAACCAATAAAACTCTATTGATATTCTAAACCTGAGGTTCCAGGGGTGGTTTGGCTCCCTGACCAGATAAACCATTGGATTTGCAAGTGCAACACTTGCAGCAGTAAATTCAAATTTGGTTTTCAGAAAAGATATTTAATTATTACATATTTATTAGTTTTCTATTGCTGAATAATAAATTTCATAAACTGAGCAACTTAAAATTACACTTATTTTTTAACTCACAGTTTCTGTGGGTCAGAAATCCAGGGCTGGCCTGACTGGGTTCTCTCCTCAGGGTCTTACAAGGTCAAAATTAAGGTGATGGCCTGATCTGTAACTTTACATGTTTCTCGGGGTTTCTTGTGTCTGTAGTACTGAGGTCCTTATAAACTTGCTGGCTGACAGCTTCCCTCAGCATCTCAGGACTCTTGCATTCTTTGCTATGTGGACCCATCTATCTTGGCAGCCAGCAACAGTTTTCCTTGTGCTGAATTTCTCTCATGCTTCACATTTTGTCTTTAACTTCAAGACACTCATTTAAAGGGCTCATGAGTTTGGGTCAGGCTGACCAAGATAATCTCCTTTTTAGGGGAGATTGGGTTATACATAACCTAATTGCAAGAATAATATCCAAATAAATTCACACTGTTAAGAATTACAGAAGGCATAGGCACACCAGGGGATGGGCCGTTGAGGGGACATCTTAGGATTCTGCCTAGCATATATGTCAAAGGCCTTCAGGATCAATAATTCAAAGCCTGGACCAAAAGGCCTACTCGGTTGGCCTAAGATGCCAAGTCTTAGAATTTATCAGAAAGAAATTGGTGTTTGGAAGCATTGTTCAGTGATCTCATAAATTTACAATTTTAGAATATAGGTTGTCTTTTCTATAGGCAGAACCAAAGTCTTGGTATTGAGGACGAAAAGTGAAGAATCTGATCCACCATTTTTCATGTGCTTAATTTATCATCAAGTTTTTCATCAGCTGTATCCAATATGGGTGTATTACCAATGTTCATTCAAAAAGTGTCACAAAGGATCAAGAACTGTGTAACAACTAGCCTTACTTTTAAAGATTAGATAAATAATATTACCAGGAGTCACCAGAGTATGAACTTCCAAGAGTGCATTCAAGAAATTAATGTCATGAGAAACTAGGTTTTAGAATCCATTCACATGACTGGGTCTATTGACTTTATATCTTCCCATGAGGAAATATATATCAATTCTTTGTCTGTAAAGCAATTTGTACTGATAGTTTGTAAATAGCTAAGCTAAAGTTCTTTGGAATGTTGTTCCTCATGTCATCTTATTTATCATGTTGTTTTTGGATTTTTTTTTCATAGGTAGTGGTTGAATGGGTTGGTTGATTTTTGCTACTGGACGAGCCTTGTATTTTTTTTCTTTTACTTATATATAGTTTATGTCTTCAAATGTGTTTTATTGTCATAGCACCTGTATATGTATATCTGTATATATATATATCAGCTATTTATAAATTGGTTTTCTTTTTTTAAATATCTTAAATTCACGTGGCATTTTTATTGCATTTTTCCCATTATCATTTAGCTCCCTTACACTCCAAAATCATCACACTGTTGTCCACATTCATGAGTCCTTTTTTCCTTTTTGCCCTATCTCTTCACCCCTTACCTTCCTCCTCCTTAGCTGTCAATCTGCTGTCTATGAGTCTGTCTCTATTTTGCTTGTTAGTTCAGTTTGTTCATTGGATTCCACATATTTTATAATGTGATTTCGCCACAAAGAATTGTTAAATCAGGGATGACTGTATATTTCAGTCAACCACAGGGACTATCAATGGCTCTCTGGAGCCCTCAGTTGTTAGAATTCTGAGTTTGGCTAGGCCTGTGGGAAAATCAGGGATGTCTGCATTGGGTAAGGACTGGGCTATGTGAGGATACATTGTCACATATTTGGGACCTTGAAGGAATGTTGTTATTCCAGAATAAAAGAACACTGAGGAAATGTTGCATACTAAATCATCTTTATATAGATATATTTATTAGCTTAATTTTTTTTTCGTGGCAGGAAGAATTTCAAAATCTAATGAGAATATCTAGGGCCTCCTGAGCAGTAAAAGGCATCCTGACAGCAAGGAATAGCTTTAAAGAAGCCTGCAGTTAAAACCTATTAATGTCACAATTTTGCCTAAAGTAGCCCTGGTTTCAAGCAGTATTTCCTCTCTTGTGCATCTGGTCTTCTGAAGGCGAATATGCATCCCTTGAATCCACTCGCCAGCCCTGCTCAAAAAAGAGGATTCACCTATGGTGCTCACCGAACCCCTTTGGTCCTATAAAACACATTTTGTGTAAATGATAAATAAGTTTACATTAAAATATTTAATTTGGCAGACAGCTGCAGATAGGCACTGAATTTTTAAAATATTTATGAAAGATGGAAAAAAGGAACAGAGCAGATAAGTCTAGAAAATTTTCTTCTTATATTAATGCATATTAATGCATTAAATTGAAGACATAAAGATCACAGACAGCAAGTATGGTTACTGACCATAAATTCTCAACAGAAATTTCCTTAACATAACAAAGTCATACAGGGAAATGAATCAAACAATAAGTATGAATAAAGACTTAGAAAATAGAGACACATTCAATGTGCAGAAGAAAAGCCATCTACTGACAAGCCTAATACTTTACTGAAAACTGGGACAAAGTGAGAGAGAGGGTGGGAGTGGTACAAAAAAGGGAGACAAATGAGAAAAAGATAGAGAAAAATACGGTGAGAGGAGGAGACTTGGGAAAACTATTGTACTGTGAAATTCTGATTCTTATATTCATAAGTCAACATAAGCAATAAGAATGTTTATATCTTCATAAAGATGTATCTAAGATCCATATAACTTAAATACATCTTTTGTCTAAATAGTTCATTTTCCTAGTTATCAAAGTAGTTATTCTGAGACACATTTGAACTACTGCTCAAAATATGTTATGATCCTATAAATATGATGCAATTTCCCTTTAGCTATAATATCCTTAATTAGTTTTTGTCAATGGTATACATTAATTACACTCCAGCATTTCAAGGTCTGTTTGTTCTCTGATTTAGAAAAAGTAATCTGTATTCTCTAGTGATGTAAAAAGCCTAGCATCTAATTAGGAACTTTCTTATCAGATTTCTCCAGTGTGGGTGGCCACCCTGCCGTGGCCTGCGTCTCCCCTGGGAGAGCAGCAGCCCCTCAGGTGAGCACATTTGCTCCTGGAATGCAGTCATGGCCCAAACCTCAGTCTGTTTGTTTGTTTGTTTCCTATATATTCTTTTTATTTCCTAATTTATTATAACTTCACAGTTTTTTTCCTTTGCTGCAAACTTTCCAAAATTCTTCATCATTACATATGTATTATTTTTACTTTTCCTTGCTGGCTACTGCTTTTTCCTCTAACTTTCTCTGCTCTAACATGAAAAAACCTTGTAGCCCCAATTTCATGAGAAGACATAAAGGAAATAAAGCAAGCTGTATTTGCAGCAGTAGATTACAGAGATTCAATGTTCATCTCTAACAGATTGAACATGTTCTAGAGAAAAGGTTCCTATGAAATTACTAAGACAGGACATCTCAATTTATAAATAAGCAAAAATATTTTGAAAAGAACAACCCCCCATAATTCCTGATACAATGCTTTTAAAAGTACCTCCGCTTGACCAACAGGTATGTTTTCATAGTTGTATAAATTATCCATGTCTTCCAAGGTGGCATCATAAGTTTCTGAGTCATAGTTGATGGGCTCTAAAGTTGGAGCAGGCACAGCAGCATCAAAGATGATGAGTCCCAGAACAAGTCTTGCTAATGCTTTCATTTTGCAAACTCTCCTAGTCATAAAATATTAAAATGCATAAATATTTAATTGATAATAACTTATGAATAGTTGGCACTAAACAGGAATGATAGATAAATCAATATTAACACTGAGAAACTTGAGCTGGTAGCTTTCTTTACATGAATAATATATAAACATAATAGAAACAATTATATGGCTTCTGATGACTATTGATACCAGTTGTTCAAATTAATGCACAAACCTCATCATGTTTTTACAGTGGATACAGTAATTACAGTGAAATTGATTTTACTTTATAGAGAAACATGGGGGAGATAGGATGCAGAAAGACTGCAATATACTTATTCACAAATGCTTCTGCATTGCTAGGCATTAAGATTGTTTCATCAACTCTGGAATGTAGGGAGGCTGATGTTGCTGATGATGATGCTCACGTTAACTGTCACGCTGTTTTACAGATGAGAAAACCAAGACAGAGTTGCTCATACAACTAGGACTCGTAACTGTTTCTTGTGCATTTAAGCCTAAGGTCTTTTCTGACAAAATAATAAAGATTTCTTTCTTTTTACCTCTTTGTTGCCTCTGGGTATTATTAAAATATGGATCATTGAATATGTGCATGTATTAATATTTCATGCAATACTTTTCAAAACTTTTTCTAAACTAAATGGAGCAAACAGAAAGTAATTTTTCTTTAGTCCTCAGTGCTGTATTTCAATTCTAAATAGCTGTTTAAGGTTTAATGTCAGAATCAATAAGACTACATGTGTGAAAGGCATTATTTGGCAAAACCCTTTAGAGTAGGGTTTGTACACATACAGCACTAAAGAAATCTTTTGTTTTATAATTCTTTAATAAGCACAATTTTTATTTTCTATAACATCTTGCATTTTGTGATTTAATTAAGGTCTTATCATTTTAATTATTGCAGTTCTATACGTACTCCTTTGAACACATTTTAGTTTATAATAAAAAATTCTCATGTTTAATTTCAAACATTTAAGTTGGACCTATCAAAAATGTTACCCAGTGATTATTTATTGGGGAAGCAAATTATTTGTAAAGTCTTTTTATCAAAGATGTCTAATTTTAAAGGTTTTGCATTTTGGATATTCTTCTTTGGTTTACTTTAAAAACAGTGCATATGGTGTCTGTGTTTTTGAACACGTATAAAAGAGAATTCATAGTAAACATTGCTTATAAACTTGAATGCACTGGCAGACAAACTGACCTTCAGTTACTTGAAAGAAAGTCTTTATGAAGCAGGTTTAGGCAGAAGGATATGAAATTCCTCTGAGAATAAGAAGCAGTACAAGGAGCTCCTTTTTATCCCTTTCTATGCTTTCTTCAAATAAATTTTTCATTCACACTGGATAAACTAAGCCTCTGTTTTACCTGCCTTTGAAGAGATCTTTGCAGGATTTCAGATTTGGAACTGCTTAATGCAATTTACTAACAAAGTTTTAATATAACAGTGTGATTTGCAAGTCTTCCAGGAACCATTCTCCTACATTCAAGTGGGAAGCATTTAAAGTAGCCACTCTTAACCTAAATAAATACATTTTTCTTGTGCATTTCTAGCAACTTGCATTGTTCAAAACAATGCACTTGCTGGCTCTTTTTCTCTTTGTACTCTATATTTGATTATAAATGTCTACATATTAGAGTTTACCTGCATGTGGCCTATCCCCTAAAGCTGCCAGCAGTAAGGCAGTCTGTGAGAATTTTAGAAATATGAAGAACATATATCCATGTTTACTTAAAAACTATGTTCCTTCTTCCACATAATTTTATTAGTATTTAATGTAATGCCTTTGTTGCAATTTTGAAATTGTTGTCCACTTGACTCCATTTCATGCTATCTTGAAAATGCATGCTTATATAAAACTTTAAAATATATAGCTTAAAAAGATATTCTAAATGCGTAATTCTAGTATGATCAGTATATTTTTAAACACCTGAAATCTCATTTTCTTCTTTTACATAATTTTTCAATCAATCATAATCAATAGTGCCTGTCTATACTTGCAAAGAATGTGGTCTGTCAGGGCACTTCATTTAGGAAATATATTGGAAACTACTATAATTTTATTGGCATCTATCATGACTATTAAGATTAACTATTTTGTTGTATGTTATTAATTCCTAAGCTAATTCAGAATTTTGGATTTTCCAAGAATAATATAAATATAAATATAGACAAACTAAACCCAATCCACTGAATCAAAGTTCACCTTGAGATATTAAAGCAAGTTGAATTATTTTTTTAAAGGTTGTTATAGTAGGAAAAAGGTCTCTAGCCCAAGAAGAAAGCAAGTGTAAAAACTTACCTTTGGCTCCTACTTGGTGAAATGGCACGAAGTGACTGAGGACACGGAGCCAGTGGTATTTGCCCCTGACCAATGGTTGTGAATTCTGGTCGTGGGAGGTGGAATTTGTAACACTCAATTTTCTGTTTGGAAAAGCTAACCTTGAGAAATGCTTCTCAGTCTTTAAAAACCCCAAGCTACTTTGTAGTCACTCAAACTGAGCAGTAGAATCCAAATTACATCGTTTATAAAGCTCTTGAAATTATGTTAAAAGAGTTATAATTGCTAATGTGTCACCTTAAAATTTTTAAATAAGTTTGTTTTAACAGATCTTATCTATAATAAATTCACCAATTAAGAAGTTAAAATGTATGCAGTGATACTATACATGGATATTTCATAAATATTCTAATAAGAAATAATTTTCTTAAACTTCACATGTTTTAAATTGCTTTCTTCACTTTTTATTAATGTTAACTGAAATTCAGTAAATGTTGCAAAACAGGTTGCCTTACCTGTTTAATGTTGGGTAAGCAAAGAAAAAAATATATATACATATATATGTAATTACTTTGATTGCTTGGAATGGTTCAAAAGCAATGAAACAATGAACTTTTTGCATTAATATTTGCCAAAAAATTATGTCCAGAAATAAATACAATCTGCATGTTTCTTTGGGAAAAGGCTCCTTTTCTTCTCTTTAATCTATCAGAGCCAAAGTAATCAAATTACCTTAAAAAAAACTTTCTTTCATAATATGAGATTTATTTTAGGTTCTTGGAACATGACATCGTTTGTGAAACTGAGTTTTATTACAGGTGTGAAGATTAAATGTATTTGTATTAAATTTCCATTCTTCACTTCCATTCACACTGCAAATGTTCTAGAGAAGACTGAAACCTGGGTTTTGTATTCTGGTATGGTTTATATAAATTAGGTGTGTATGCATCAGGTATCCCCTCTATGACTAGAAGTGAATACTGTATTAAATTTTGAAAGCAGCTTTGGTCCTGGGCAAACTGATCATGTGAGAACTCTCACTCTCTTTTCTGTTCCTCTCTCTTCATTTCTTCCCCCAAATTTCTTTGTTCATCTTTTCAGGGCACTCACTCATTATTCCCACCATCCATACCCGCTTCCACATGACTTGCTCTCAGTGTGCATTGTTTTTCTCAGGGCCAATTTTATCTGTAACAGTAGCAGTGATTTTAGGTACAGTATGAAATCTACCAAGACTTCTCAAACAGGAGGGAAGCCATCCTGGGGACTTCTTCCTGGCATCTCATCATAAAGGGGCACCACTTTCAGAAATATTTCTGAAAAGGGACACAAGTCTGAGTTCCTTTGCTGGCTCTGTTTAGCAGTAATGTCTCTACCAATGTGTAAGATGATTTTACAGTTGTAAATTCTCTCAACTCATTTTCAATCAGAGTGATGAATCACTATTCACAAATGGGTAAACTGATGCTCAGATATAAAATTATCCAGTGTCACATGTGACACAAAGAGAAAACCCAATCAGGTCGTTTCCAGATGTTACTGAGCCCATCTTAAGGCTACTAGTGAAGGTAAAAAGGCAGTACTACCTGTCAGTTTCTTAGATTCTAAGGCTGTTTACCTGTTACTAAGGCTGTTTTAGGCTCTTTCAGATGCTTTAGAATAAAAATGGATGAATAGAATAACTAGTATCTCTTCCTCTTCCTGCATTATTTAATTTAGTCCTCTGCACATTGTTAGAGAGGTGGCTCTACCTAGTCCTTTGCATCCTGGAGGCTTCTGGCTGAACCTATAAGACTCTATATCCAGAAAAAACATTTTCACACTCTCACTGAACCCGTATGATTCTCTATTTCCAGAAATAACATTCTCACACTATCCTTTGAACTATTAGTGTTTAAGTGATGTCTTCCATAGGCTTCAGAACACTCTTTACTAACGCAGTTGTTTTGTGACAACTTAATAACTAAACTACTTATCTTACTATATGATTGAAAGCAGAAATTACTATTCCTGCACTTTTTTCCAAATAAGTAAGCCTTTCATATTTCTTTATAACAATGGACAATTTTAAAAATCATTTCTCTTCATCTTATTTGGACCCTCTCCAATATTTCAAAATCTATTTTGATATGTGGGAGCTCAAATTTGTAACAATCTCAAGAGGACTTAATTTCTGTTGAACAGTAAGGAAGGATTAGTTACCAGTTCCAGCCTTTCTTATCCCAGGTAAATATCTTTTAGTTTCATGATAATTTTCTTAATAGTAAACTTGGATATTGGACACCCTCAAGGGATCAGTTATTAAGACTAGTTGCATTATTTAGTAAATGAGGCTTTGTGGCTTTATCCCTTTAAGCCCCCAAACATTTTACAAATCTTTTTGGCTACCACTCTTTACAAAATTAACTAAATACCATCCTGCTTGCCCAAACAGAATTACTCAAAATGGTGTTATCTTAATGATTGTCTTCTCTCTGTTTTGTAGCAGTGGTTAGAAAAGAGGAGCGGTCACTGCTGTTTGTCCTTGTTCCCAGCCCCAACAGTCCACATCTCTAAGGGCTGCAAGAGGGTATAGTTATCCCACCCTACTGATTAGAAGGAATAAAACTATTGCCTGAAATTTATAGCTAGCTGCCTATGAAGAATTCCCATGTTTCCACAGGGACCTACTCATCAGAAGTCTCAGGTCTCCCAGCATCACCACTGTATGGTCTACAGCCTCTAATCTTACCCAATCTCTTCCTCCAGAATCTTTTAAGCTTGCTCTGTCCTTTGTCCTTAGTTTCATTTGGAAAATTTGCATTTGCTTCCTTTACTTTATAAGAATCTAGCTGTCTCCTGACAAAAGTTTTCTATTGCCATCTTTTAATGTAGTCACTGTTCTTTTTTTAATTTTTAAAAGATTTTATTTATTTTTAGAGAGGGGAAGAGAGGGAGAGAAACATCAATGTATGATTGCCTCTCGTGTGCCCCCCACCGGGCACATGGTCCCCAACTCATGCATGTGCCCTGATTGGGCATCGAATCCATGACCTTTGCTTTTGCACTCAATCCACTGAGCCACACCAGGGGGACTGTAGTCACTGTTCTTTATTCTTCCCTCACATAACTCAAAGGTGGAGGGATTTTTCTTGCTCTACATTTTCTCTTCTAAATGATTTCTTCTATTTACTCTTTCAAAAACTTCATCCATCCTGAAACTCATCACATTTGACTTAATTATTTACAAGTTTTCCATCTCACCAACAGCCTGACTTTTGTTGGTGACTTACTTCTAACCATCTCATGCTCTCTGCTCATACCCCAGTCACCAATTCCAATTATGCCAATCTCCATGCACATGACCCATCTTTCATGGTGACCTGGTAGTTGCCTTAATTTTTTATGTAAAGGTACCACCTTCCAACCCACCCGGCATTATTGTCATACCTTTCAGTCATCAACCAACTATAACAACCGTACACTTGGGTTATTATCATTTTTTAAATTTCATGAGACCTTCATTTTATAGACTCCATCACTTTTTCACTATTCTTTAAATCTCCTATCTTCAAATCCCTCCTTAATTTTGGATTTTATAGATCTTTACCATATTACTTCTTCTCAAGCACTTTCTGCTCTCTTTTTCTTTCCATCATACCTGGAAGACACCTCAAGTTTCTTTGAACTCAACTTCTAACTCTCTCTTCTCCTGAATCTGAGCAGCCTCTATATTACTAATGAAATCATACACAATGATGATTGGCATCACTTTAAATTCTCACAGATACCAGATGTACTACTTTTGGGAAAGAAGACCCACTGAGCAGACCTACTACATTTCTCAGGTCAGTTCTCTTCCCAATGCTCTAAGAAGGCTATTTTATAACATTCCCTCTGTTATCAAACCTATATTCTTTTTCTCCCCGCTGAAAGTCATCAGAGTGATGATAGAAGACATCAGAAAAATACTCAATTAACTTTCCATTATCAAATCTACCTGCACTTATATGCATTTTCTTTTCTTGTCTTCCTATGACCATGCAAGAAGTTTAAATTCCCCAAATGGTGTCTAGGATCACATTCCTTCCCTCTTCTCAAGGTCTATAGTGCTTTACCTCTCTGTATCTCTCAGTTAGGTCGTCAGTTCTATGTATAAACACATGTGCTCTGGAAAAAGGTCACACAGGCATTCTATACAACATAACTCAACTGAACAACGGTCATTAAAAATGATGGTTTCATAGTATCTACAAAAGCGTGAAAATGTATTTGATTCATCTTACAAATCCTCCAATATTGACTTCTGATATTATGTTTCATCTTTAAAAAAATAATAGCTCTCAGACCCCACATTTTCATCCTCTTACTATATCATTCCTATATCCGCCTTTTCAGGAAAAAACCAACCAACCAACCAACAAACAAACAAACAAACAAACAAATGGTATGCCTTGGCTGTTTCCTTTTGTTCTGTTCCCATTTGTTCTTTATTTCACTGCAGTATGGGCTATGTGTGGGTAGTGTTCTGGGTTCGTGTTAACTATTTTCCTAGCAGCCTATCATGATTTCAGTGTGATATTTCTCCTACCTCATTCACTATATGCCTTCTCAATATATGTGTGTGTGTTTTTGTTTTGTTTTGTTTTGTTTTTTTGTCAGTCTCCTCTTCCTCTACCCAGCATCTAAATTTTGGGGTGTCTTAGGTGTTAGTCTAATTTTGATTTTTTTCTCTATTTATCCTTTATGGTTTGGTAATCTCATCGTTGTCAAAGCTAAAATTACAATAAAATTACAAACAATTTTAATAACTAACATTTTGAATGCTCACTATTTACCTGGCATTGCTTATTACCCTCACTTTCAGGAGAGGAAGCTAAAGTCCAGGGAGCTTAGGTGACTCCAGCTAGTAAGAAGCAGAGCCAAAATCAAAACTGAAGCCATCTGGTAGCAGAGCCCAAGTTCTAAACCACAAAACCAAACTACCACCTCATATTTGTCTTCCAGCTTTACCTCTCCAGCTCCATACACTCTGAGTTGCTGATTCTTATATACAATTAACTACTTAG